TTCTTGAACTTTTTTTCATCATCTTGGAAACTAGGCTTTACCTAAATGATTAGAGTCTGCCAAATACTCTAGGCTGCAAGCCCAGGATAGTCTTAACATTAAGTAAGGTGCAAATATTTAAGATACTAAGTCTTACAATTAACAGATTTACATCGAAGACAATTCCACATACTGGATTTTTTTTGAAAGTGTCATTTATTGGTTATTTTAGATGAAAATCATATATTATTTCCAACTATATGACTGTGTGATAATTTTTTATAATATATCATGAATACCCTGGTAAAATTCTATTTCTGCAGCTGGATCCTGGCAGAGTTCCACAGCAGATCAGCTATCCACAGAGTTTCTGTTGCCAAAGTTCACTCACTCGCAAATTTGTCTTATATATTTGCCTTATATATTTGGGGGGAAGCTAAAGGGGCACATACCATGGCCTTGAATATCACATTAGAAGTCAGACACGTGAGTGTTTTGTAGTAAGCCCATCCCCCATGGCAAAACTTGTGTTCTGCATTCTTCGACTTCTTTTGGTTTAGTAAATATTCTCTCATATTCTGTGGTACTCCTTTCTGTTTTATCTTCTTTTGGTATCCTCCTCATTCACCTTGCTCTTTGTCCTTTTTCCTCAAGGAAAGGAATGTAAGTTCCCACTATTTCCTCCTTTTGTTTGCTTGGAAAATGGCCATCTAGTCCTATTGTTGCAAGGTCTGTCAAGCTGTGATTTGAGAATTAATGCTGACACTCTTACTGCCAATCCCAGTAAACCAAATCTGAAAACAGAAATCTTAATGGCTGGCTACAAATTTACCTGAGCTGACCTGGACAGTGCACCTTCAATGAACAACCAGAAGGCAAGAGCTACCATGCTCACCTTTACCAAGCAAAGCAAAACAAAACAAAGAAAGGATCCAGAACTAACAAAATGCTGAAACTGCAGCTTCTCCCTCCATACTGACTTGTCGGGTAAACAGTGATTTGTAAAAAGCAGCATCAGTTCTGTGCAGAGAAGGAAGATGCTGTGATGCATATCATCTGTATCAGCTAGAAGGGTACTTCAGCTGTTGGGAAAATTACTTTGGCATGAAACCAGACCCAGCCCATCCAATGGACATGGACATGTGCACATTTTTGCACATATCTACGTGCCCCTTGGAGGACTGACACACTTCTACCCATATGTACACACATACATACATACATATGTAAAAATATCCATATGCATTCTTGAAGAAAGCATCAGCTTTTGTGCTGGGAGGGTGGGGATCAGGGGACTGACACACTTAATTGTTTTAACTGTAGCATGTAATTAGGTGATCTTGCTCTTCATTTTAGAGTTTTCACACTAACAAAAATGACAAACTGCAATGCTGCAAACTGCAATTCTAATATTCAATACGATGGGCTCCATGAAGTCAAAGTGCTCTGGTTGGTGGTTAAATTTAAGCTCCAGTTCTGCAAAACCCTTAACCATCTGCTTCACTCTGAGTACATGACTGCTCCTGCTGATTTCAGTGCAATTAAAGTTGAATATGAAGAAAGGTCCTTCTATGGTACTCATTATTATAATGTTTATAAAAATATAAATCAAGAAAGCTAAGCTATTTTCTGTAACATGTAACGTTTCTATAGGTATATTTCTATTTGATTTGGCGTTACACTTAATCACTTGTAAACCCTGCCCTTTACAAAGCTTCATCTTCCTTTTAAAAGGAGTTTAATATCAAAGTAAAGCAAAAGTCATTTTCCAAGTTAAACTGCAGCTAAATTACCCAATTACTGACAACCAACAATCTTTCTTTATGGTGCAGCGGATTAAAATAGCTCATATATGCAGTAAAAAAAGAGAACACAAACTCAAGTATATAATTTTTCCCTTGTGCAATACAGGCTTATAAAAGGGGTAGTATTATTTCAGTCTGACACATGGCTATCTGGTGTCATTCATTTCAGCAGGTACATTTGAAATGGAGTCTCCCAGGCTTCATAGCTATACCTGGCTATGGATTTAGGACTTAGTTATACTTGCAACAACAAGTATAGCTAAGTCCTATGCAAATACCCTCCCAGATATAGGCTCTTCTTAAGTACAATAGCTCCTAATGCTAGTCTATTCAGCATCGTCCAAGTACAGATCAAGCTATTTTATGCAAGGCCTCCTATTGCTTCTGACACAGGCTGGAAATAATGGCCAAGTTTGTTGCTGGGTTATTATTGCTCTAAGGTCAGTCTCCCTGCTCTTTCATCCATCCTCCTGCACTTTCCGGTTCTTTTGTTTGTTCATCTTGACCCAACTCGTACTTGTGAACTACATTGCTTTTGTTAGATCAAGACACTGCCTGCCAAGCCTTAGAGCATTAATTAGGGCAGTGGTCCTTGGGGTAAATGGAGCACAGTATGGAGAAATAACTGTTATTCTGCTCATCCAAGATTGAATGTGCAACTGGCATTTCTAGTGCATATCTCTGACACTGATTTAACAATTCTCTCTTCATAATGTGCACTGTGTGCACTCTCCCCCTCTCCCACAGCTAATGCACAAAAGTTGAAACCACACCATGTAAGAGGTCAAATTTCCTTTGTTCAACCCCAGCTTATGTCATAGCTGAGAAACTGTGCACACTGCTACAGGGTGAATCTGTAAATACTTTTAAAAATAGCATGTTAACATTTATTTTCTCTACTTGGAAGCATCATGATGAGAAAGATTTAATTTTTCAAGCTACCACAATTATTTGATAGTTTCAGGAACACTTAGCAATTAAAAAGAACTGTCAGGTGGAGTCTAGCTTATCACAAGGAATGCTTTAAGAACCCCTTCCATGGTATATACATGATGATTTTCAAAGCATGGATGTAGACACCCTGCATATGCTTAAATCCCATTTGGAAAATCCCAGCCAAAGCTGTAGATGTGTGTGAGTACAAACAAAGGAATAGGCAGGTCTCTTCTGAGACTGCTGTAAGGGTGGGCAAGGATCAGCATTAGAGACATTTCCAGTTTCTTGGTCACTCTCCATGGCTTATGTTGGTCTTCTTTGTAGGAAGTCAGACTCACTGCATGGTCTTCTCTAAGGAAGCCAAGAATGGTGTCAATCTACAGAATGTAACCAGATTACAGCAAGCAAATCTCTCAATCTTTCTGCTCCAGCATTTTAAGGAGATAGGCTAATAAGCCCAAAGCTAAGCCTTGACCTAGTCATCATTTTTTGAAAGCAAGTTTTGAGGATTTTGAAGAAAAAATGAAACAAGTACTATGCTGCTGTAGTGTCAACCTGAGGTCTTCAGAGTGGCTATGAGTACAAGCTTTGCTTCTCACTCATATCTCTTTTTCTGGCCTGCGGGTATCCTGCAGATGGTCTATGGACATGCTGTTTGCCCTCAGGCATACTAACGCATTAGACATGTTTGGATGTGCAAACTGACAGGCGCTCTGGAGCACCTTACATCTTGTTTCTAAGGCAGGATTAGCAGACTTGCTAAGTGCCTGACCTGCCAGGCTGGTCCCCAAGGGTGTGAATGGACAGAATATGGAGATGCCACCACCTGTGCGGTGTCAGGAAAAAAATGGCTCCAACTGGGCCACCTAGCTTCCATCTACTTTCAATTCTATTACTAGAAGGATGCTCTGTTGTTACCTTCTGTCCTTCAGAGCGAAGAATGGTTTCTGCTGCCTTTTGAAGTGTTGCATTGCTACTTGTGCCTTACTGAGAGTGCTCACTGCTCAAAGCAGGGAGACGTCAGTATCAGGATGGGGTATCAGGAAGACCTCAGTTATAATGAGTCTGAAGCGCTCAAGATTAAGATTAATTGATGCAACCCAATTTAAAATGGCCTTTGAGATGGGGTGAACTCCTGAGGAGCTACAGCAGGCATCTTCTTGCTAAGAGCTCTTCGAAGATGCCTCCTCCCTGCTGTAGCTGCAGCTTTCCTGATGGCCTTCTCTACTGCAGATGCAGTGGTGGCTGGAAGGGGAGAGATCCTTTTCTGGCCCTTTGGAGCACTGTGGGACTCCACACCACCGTTCCTATCAACATACTACTGCTGGTGATGAATTTTACTGTACAAAAATACTGAGGCCATTAAAAATATTCAAGGCTGTATTGTGACACTATTAAACAGCTTGGACAAGAAATCAGTGAAGTTTTAGGCAACGGGTGGTGGCACCGAGCTGGGACAGGAAATCTGCCTCTCTTTCTCTCTCTCTCTGTATTTTAATTAAACCTTCATACTCACTGGGAATCTGTCCTTAGTGGGAGTTAAAGATCGGTCCTTAAGGCTCTTCCCCTCATGGTGGCAACTTGTGGAAGTACTGGAATCCAAGGCCCCCAGCACAACCCTTTTCCTTACATACTTCCCTCCTGTGAACCACAAACCTGTGTTGAATCCTTCTCCCAAATACCCCCTCCCCCTGGCCTGCAGGTATAGAGCAGCTCTGCTCTGCCCCACAGTTTTGCTGCAGAGAAGAAAGTGCACTACAAGCGATGGGATAATATGGAGGTAGCTGGTCAGCAGGGGTGGGGAAGTCAGGCTAGGCCATTCAGGGTGGCACAGAGTAATGCTTAACGTGTTTAATTCCACAGCAGCAACACTTAATCATTTTGCTGTAGTTATTAGTCATATTATCATTATAATACCACTATCGTACTGGTATGTCTCCCATCACTGCTCTGTGTGCACACTGCCTCCTGACCTTACTGTCCAGGTATTTAAGAGGTTGGATTTGGGGACTCCATTCCCACAGCAGACCCCAATTTGCAGCTGGTCCCCCAATGTCATGCTCCTTTTCTACAGGGAGCCTCTGTTTCAGTCTGTGGAAATTCAGTGTCCTGCTCTGCCAGAAGCAGACGTCTGCCATATGGTCTGTCAATTGGCTATGCCTAATGTACGGGGTCGTGGAGGATTGCACAGCAGATAAAGCTGTGCCATTACAGGTGCCACCCGTAGTGAGTCTCCTTGGAAGGTACAGTTTCCCCATCTCCTTCTTATCGCTTAAACAGGGGCATCTCCACCACATAGCTGGAGTAACGCATGCATCCTGAACACAGGCTCTGATGTGTGGGAGCTCATTTATTTGGTCAGTCAATATGAACTGCTGGAGAAGAGATTGGGCAGAGAAAAGTGCTCCTTAGCAGTCCCTGTCCCTTCCTTCCTCAAAGTTTTGGCTGCAGGGATTGTTTGTGGGGTAAAGCAATAAAAGAAGGAGTTTTGATTTGGCTCAGTAAGAATTTATGCCTGTGTGAGTGGAATGTAAATGGGTTTCTTGCAAGCAAATCCTGGATGTATTGTCAGTTAGCAGTTTACAGCAGAGTCCACTTTTGAGCCCCATTATGGGAATGGCAGAAGGTGATTCACCCAGCTACCTCCGAAGGAAGCGAGTCCCAGCACTGAATTATGTGCAGCGGGACTGAGTGTTCTGCAGGAGCAACAAAACAAGCACTCAAAAGCTGCCTGGAGATCAGAAAAGCAGAAAAAAGAGAAGGGGGGGAAAAAAACCTTCTGATTGCAGCTGCTGTGGAAACCAACCCTACAGCTTCTCTCCGGACTTGGCAAGCAGAGGGACCACTTGTTCCACTACTAAAATATTTTCAGTGCCGGCAACCTCTACTTTAACTGTCAAGTGTAGTTTTCCCGTGTGTTGAAAACAGTAATTTGCCAACCAAGTGAGCTTGGAGGCTTGTCTGATGAACCATTATAGAAAGTGAAGGGGAGCAATTTAAACAGCTTTGCTTCTCTAATTTCTTGAAAAAACACTAGGCAAACCAATTACTCCAACCCTGTGTTTCCTTTTTGAGGTGGATACGTTACACGTGGGCAGAAAACCTAAAGGAGCACTTTTTACTGCATCAGTATAGAGCAGCTTGCCGGTTTTAACCCTTGGATACGCTAAGGACTAACTTGCGCTTGTTTGCCCGTCTGTTTCTCCCTAGGTGTCTAATGGTGGTATCTGCCTGGCTAGGTGGGCTTTGAGGCAGTATGGCCCTTCTTGCGTTCTTATTAAAGAAAAAGGGGGTGAAAAGTCTGAAAATGAAGTAGCACACGTCTGTTCCCAAATAGATGCAGCAGCTCTCTAAATCTGCCGTTTACACAGCGGTGGTAGTAGTGTTTGAATGCCACAGGTCAGCTCCAGAGACCGGGAAGGCGTGCCAAGGTTCCCTGTTCCCTGTTGGTCTCCCTGTGGGGAGGAAAAAAAAAGTTGCAGCCTCTCGTATCATGTGGAAAGTACCGCAGATTTCCTATCGGATCTCGGGCCGAGCTGCTAGGAAGGGCGGAGAGTCCTTTTTCCCAATCCCGGGCAAATTGGTACCAGCACGGTCTGTCTGCTGGGGTCATCGCCACAGGGCAAGGCCCGTGCTCTCCCCCTGCGGCCCATGCTGGGCGTCCACCGGGTGGCAAGGAAAAGGCTCACAAAGGCGGGGGAGAAGCGGGGGCTTTCCTGCCGGTTAATGCTGTGTGGTGGTTAACGCTGTGTGGTGTCTC